TCGGCCGTCGAGCAAATGTAGCGGTTGTTCGCAGTCTCGTGGTCCCCCGAGCGCGTGCGCGGTTGCGGCCTCAATGTTGGCTTGGCCAGGGTCCACGCCCGTCACGTTGGCGCCGAGGCGGGCCAACGCTTCCGAGAGGATACCGCCGCCGCAACCAACGTCCAAGACGCGGCGGCCCTTGAGCGGCCACGCGGACTGAGCATTGAGCGGCTCCTTTTTGAAGTGCGTAATCGCTTGCTCGCGGATGTACTGGACGCGGATCGGGTTGAGCTGGTGCAGGAGGCCGACGCCGGTGTTGCTCTCGGGTTTCCACCAGTCACTAGAAGCAGCCGAAGGGTGTGCATGAGCATCCTCTTCCTAGCGTCGTCATGCAGTACCTGGCCGCGCGGGTGAACTTGCTCACTTCGGCCTTGTTGACCGTCGAGAAGCGGCGCATGATGATGACGACGAAGAAGCGTTCGCTGGAACTCGGCCACTCTTGGAATCCACCGCAAATAGCATATGATACACTATTGGCGTCTTGAATGAAATGCGCATATAGTGTTAATGTAAATAAAGAGTGTAGGTCAAGATCGTCTTGACAGCTCGCGTAGACCATGCGCGTCTCGAGGTCGATCGCAAGCTGGCGAGCGTGTTAGCTGAGGAGGTCGCTCCAAACCAGCGCCTTCTTTTGGCTATTGTAGACAAGCGAACTGTCAAGTTGTACAGCTAGTGGCGGCCTCACGACTGGCATCGAAATTGAGAAAAGGGGACCTCAAATTTGAGTTTGATTTATTTTCTGCTCGATCAACCCGTTAGGCACAGTTGCTCGTGCACATTCCCAGCTCGACGATCGACAAGGTGCTCCAGCCGTCACTTGTCTCTCCATATTCGTTTTTGCCATGCGACCAAGATGTGCGACGAAGAGCAAGACGGATGTTGCTCGACGTCGAGGAAGGCGAGCGCATGGAGATGCCAAACCGTGGTTCCACAAGCGAGACAATTTGACGGAACCACCGCTCGTCTCTGTCGAACGACATCTTGTGTAGCTCTTTGTAGCGCATCCCACCACGTAGGATTGGCTTGGCAGAAACTACTATAGGCTTTCGAGTCGCTTCTTGGCGCGGATCAGTTATCGGGTTGATCTCTCCATATCACATTTTGCGAACAACCAACAAGTTTTGAATGTAATGCTTCAAAAACCTTCAGACCAAAAGACTACGTGGCACTGAGCTTGTTCACAATGGCCAAAAGCAGGCGCTGGTTCTGAGCCACCTGCTCAGTTAACACGCTCGCCAGCTTGCGATCGACCTCGAGACGCTCACGTTCATAAGCCATCCGCTCCCGGTCGATCTCGAGCCGCTGTCGTGCTTGGTCGCGATCGAATGCCAGACGATCCCGCGCCAAAGCGAGCGTCGCCTCTGCGCAAGCCGCGTCCCGGGTGCGGTTTTCGCACAGCGTGCGTACAAGCGACGCATTGAGAAAATTTTCCTCGGCATCGAGCGTCGCCGCCTTGCGCTTCAGGGAGCCCTCGGCAGATGATCGAGAACTCGAGCCATTGTCTTGCTCTGGCGTACATGGCTCGAGTGTGCTGGGTCGTTGTACTGCAGCCTCATGAATAGCGGATGACGGCCCGTCGACCGCCGGTGGCTCGTTCACCGTCGATGGCTCATCGTCGTAGAGTGACGAGACCTCGATGGCGCGCACTGTGCCACCGGACGCCGTGGCCAGCTCAATCAAACCCGCGTTCTCGTCTTCGTCCTCGTCTTCATCTTCTGGCCGAGTCTCGTCGGCATCGGAAGGTCCCTGCATTTGGAGGCGGATGTCGGTCAAAAGGACCTCGCGCTCGGCGAACTCGGCGGGCGTGCCTAGCTTGCGCAGTCGCTGCATGTCGTTGGCGCAAAACTTGACGAGAAGCGTCTCGAAGCGCGACTTGAGCGCAGCGCCCGTCTTGCCTTTGAGCTTAAAGTCGGGCGACTGGGCAACGTCCTCGGCCACGCGGTCCCACGTCGCCATGACGCTGCCATGCGCAGCTTCCCACGGACACCAGCGCAGGACATGGCGAAGCATTGCAACGTCGTCGGAGCAGGCAAACTTGCCCTTGTTGCTGGTGAGGATGTAGGCTCGCGTGAGCTCCTTAGGCGTCGGCGTCAAGAACGACGTTGCCTCGCACGATGCGGACGGTCGACCGTCCATTGTTGAGATTCAGTGCACAGGTTT